AAGAATATTGATGATTTTTTAAAAAATCGGTATCACCCGATGTAAGGCAATAAAGCCACTAAAACAAAATGGGTTACAGGGTGAGGAACAATTAGGAACAGAAACATTGATAATGAGCGGAAAGGGCAGAAGGACAGTAGATAACGATTTATATTTTTTGCAGAGTAAAGTTAACTGGAAAGCATGATTATAACCGCGATCTGTGTTTCGTTGGTATGCTTTATAGACATCATTTATTAAATCCGTTGTAAGTAACGACGAACAGGGCAATTCACTCTCGTATCCCGATTTAGAAGAAAGGAGACTATATAGAAGACAAGATTTGTGATCCTGGGACATTTTCTGTTGATTTTGGTACGCTATGCGTGTGTCAACTATTATCGTAGTTTCCCATGTACAATAAGCCTTCATCCATAATACGGACCACTAAAATTGTGCTGAAAATGTGGGAAAAATACTAGTACTCATGCATAATTCGCACTCCTGTTTTTGGTAATCAAAGCCTATAAATTGTACCCCTCCAATTTCATTACGGCCAACGATCCCTAGTCTTAATCAATTCGTAATTGAAGATATTAATCAAAATTTCCGATCATCCCGATTCTAAAAGGAAACGGAAATACCTATATTGTGCCTACTGCGCAGACTCATTAACTTGTTTTTGTTCGATAAAATATGCAATCTGTCTGATCTGGATTTAGCTTTTCACAAAAAATGTTTTAAACATAGAATAATATTATTCTAATTTAGCTTTATGATAATTCTTATTTTAATTTATATTTGTAAGTATTGTTAGGTACATGTGATTGTATTTGATATGATTATGGGGTCGCAATCGCCGAATATTAGTGTCAAATTGCCGTATGTTTGTAGTGAGTAGTTATTTCGAAACTGAAATCGACCTATGAAACGGTAAGATTTTAAAGCTTTTTCGTAGCTGTGTATAATACGCACCCCTAATTTTGCTTATTATTTTTTAGAAAAAAAATCAGTATTATACATTGGGATATACGGTAATGTAATCGACCTATGAAATGGCAATTTTGAAGGTAATTTTGTAGCTGTGGATAATATGCTTTCGTAATCAAACCCTATATATTGTACCCCTTCAATTTCATTACGGCCAGCGTTTCCTACTTTTATTCAAGCTGTAATTGAAGATATTTATCAAAATTTCCAATCATCACGATTCTAAAAGGAAACGGAAATACCTATATTGTGCCTACTGCGCAGACTCATTAACTTGTTTTTGTTCGATAAAATATGCAATCTGTCTGATCTGGATTTAGCTTTTCACAAAAAATGTTTTAAACATAGAATAATATTATTCTAATTTAGCTTTATGATAATTCTTATTTTAATTTACATTTGTAAGTATTGTTAGGTACATGTGATTGTATTTGATATGATTATGGGGTCGCAATCGCCGAATATTAGTGTCAAATTGCCGTATGTTTGTAGTGAGTAGTTATTTCGAAACTGAAATCGACCTATGAAACGGTAAGATTTTAAAGCTTTTTCGTAGCTGTGTATAATACGCACCCCTAATTTTGCTTATTATTTTTAGAAAAAAAAATCAGTATTATACATTGGGATATACGGTAATGTAATCGACCTATGAAATGGCAATTTTGAAGGTAATTTTGTAGCTGTGGATAATATGCTTTCGTAATCAAACCTTATATATTGTACCCCTTCAATTTCATTACGGCCAGCGTTTCCTACTTTTATTCAAGCTGTAATTGAAGATATTTATCAAAATTTCCAATCATCACGATTCTAAAAGGAAACGGAAATACCTATATTGTGCCTACTGCGCAGACTCATTAACCTGTTTTTGTTAGATAAAATGTGAAATCTATCGGATCTCTATGTAGATTATTCTAATTTATTTTTTTAATAATTCTTATTTTATTTTTGTAAGTATTGTTAGGTACATATGATTGTATTTGCCATCCTTATGGGGTCGCATTCGCGGAATGTTAGTGTCAAATTGTTGTATGTTTGTGGTGAGTAGTCATTTCACAACTAAAATCGACCTATGAAACGGCAACTTTTTAAAAGATTTTTTGTAGCTATGCATAATACGCACACCTACTTTTGCTTATTATTTTTTAGAAAAAATGCGTATTATACCTGGGGAAATACGTTAAATTTGTTGAACTTATAGAATAAGAACAGGAATTCCATATCAGTTGTTGCTTACACAATAATTGAATAAGAAAGAGACTCCCCTGAGCAATGGAAGACAATATTTGGAATCCTGAGTCTTTTGTGTTTATTTGGGTATAATTTGTGTGCTTTTACTATTAAATCTATTGTAATTACAAAACAGACATTACTTTTTAATTGATACTTGCATAACACATGAGAAAGAATAAGCCTATATTTAGCAATGTTTTTTTTCGGCCGATATGTTTCGAATAAATAAGCCTTCCTTTCGTAGGACAATCAGAAGAGAGACTGAAAAATTCGAGTCCCACCGTGTTATCATGAAGAGAATCTGCGACGTGATATCAGGCGGCCCCGACTCTTCAGGGCTAGGCTGGGCGTTCGTAGCCATCTCCACCACCGCCACTAGGCGTGGTCGAGAAAGAGAATAAGCATGACGATCTTGATGATCGGATACGAACCGGGTGCCGTCGACGATGTTTTGAATGTTATGACTTTCGGAAATCTCTGTATTTTCTACAGTTCTTAGATAAAATGTTGCTATTTTATGATTAAGATTAAATTAACGCTGCTCTCAAAAAAGACCTCCAATCAGTGGTTGACTGGAACAGGAAATGGTTTATAACTTTTAATGCCTCCAAAACTAAACTTCTCATATTTAACCCCCATAGAGAAAAGTCCCTGCCCGCGATCAGCTTGGTTGATGCTCGTCTCCATGAGAGCGACTCACGTCACCTTCTTCGACTCAGGTTTTCAGTTGACTTAAAGTAGAACAACTACATTGAATCAATAGCTGCATCTACTGCAAGGAAAGTTGGGTCACTGTATCGTGCCAAAAGATTTTTTTTCGTCAGAGTCCATCTTACACAGCTACACATCTACCATTCGTCTTTGCATTGAATACTCTTGCCATATCTGGTCTGGTGCCCCTATTGTGCATCTCGAGGTTCCTGACAAAATCCAACGAATGATCTGTAATGTATTCCGTTCTGAATTGGCTTCACGGCTTCAGATACTTTCTCACAGACATTGTGTAGCTTCCGTCTGTATTTTCTACAAATATATGTCTACTGCTCTGATGAGCTTTTTTTTCCGCTGGTGCCCCGACTACATGAATTTAAGCGAGCAACTAGATTGGCATTTAGGTCCCACTCTTTTACTGTTGAAATAGTTAAATGTAACGGCCACTTCTACTCCAAGAGTTTCTTTCTTCGCGCTTCCCGACATTGGAACTCCCTTCCTCTTACTTGATTCTCTGATAACTACAATCTACAAAAATGTAAATGCAACGTCAATCGGCATCTTCTGTTGCTTTGATCCATGTCCTTTTTCCTAAACCTCATTTCCCCACTACACGCAATCACCTTCTCTCTCCATAATCCATTGAGTGCTATTGGCACGCCTGCTTTACTTGGGGTGAAATCCTTAAAAAAAAAAAAAAAAAAAGATTTTAGCTATTGCGTTCTTGAACGGGAATTATTTTTAATCTAGAATATTGTCATTTGTCCATGAAGCATTTGAATTATCATGTTTTTTATCTGTTTTTTATCTGTTTTTATCAGTTGACGATTTATTTCTCCTACCTAACCATTAACTCAAGTTTTCTATTGTGTGGTTAATCCAAGAAATATTTGCATAAATAACCGCATCTTCATCGGTATTTCACAAATTATGTACCATTTTATTCTCTGACCATAGTCAGGGGAATGTTGTATATATTATTTTGGAGATTTTCCAATTTCATGTCTGAATTTCCCCACTTCCTCAATTGAAATGAATATTAGACCTAACGTCAAACATTGAAACAAGAACCGTAAAGAAATGTTAAATGATATTTCATGGTTACTAATCGTAATATACACTCGAGGTAGGTCGACGAACACATCTGTCAACGGCAATGGTAATATTCACTGTTACCTTATAAGGAAATATTCAGCAGTCATTGACCGAGCAGTCAGTGTTACTATAGGTTAAAATTTAAGAAATATTTATCTTAGACCAATTTTACAGAAAGATTCTCAACACTAATGTTATTAATCCGATAAAAGTCCCCATCCCCGCCTTTTGTATGGAATTGTGTGCTAAGTCTGCATTATGTTATTATCTTACATGTTGTTATGGGGTCCACCCCTTTTTCATACAAGTGAACTCGACCAGTGTGTACTTGGACTGCTACCGTTAAATCCCCAGAGTCAGTCAGAGTAGAGAGAGATTGAGATTGTGATTGAGTTATAGGTAGAGTAATAGTGTGAGGTAACCGCTTGTAGAAGTCACAGTTACAAGCACGTAGACTATAAGGAAGTCCTACTTCGAGACTGAATTTACCAGACTATATATATATATATTATTACTCCTACTAACCGCTTTTCTGGATTTACTAACAGTATTACCAATTGTATTATTGTGTAAATACATTTATTTGTTATATTTCATTCCTGCGTTTGTGATAAATTGGAGACTGAATTTCATCTCGGAATCCACAACACGTGTGATATCCGTTTTAGTCGTTGCCGCTGTTGGAATTCCTCATGTGATATAGTTTCGTTTATTCTATCTATTGATTCGTTTTCTACTGATTAGCAACACTTTGCAGGTTATTTAAAGCAAGAAACTATTTTTACGTTGTAATATTTTGTTGTTGTTGAGATAATAATGATTTAAAATCTTAATAATTAACCCATAGCTGCGGAAAAGAAGAGGTGGATAAATGCCTTTCAAAAGGATGCTTTCGTGTAAGTGACTAAAACGAATCCAACTAGAATTGAAACTCGCCTCTCCGATTAACAATTCCGAGTCACCATCCATTGTACCAGCCGCACATCCAACGTTACAGCAACAGGTATTCCTAAACGGCCACCCATTTATATACTGACCAGACCCGACGTTGCTTAATTTCGCTGATCGTACGGGAGCTGGTGTTTCAACGTGATGTGTTATTTCGTATAGCTCTTTAAGGTAGTGAAAGTAACAATAAAGCAACAGGTCTGAGACTAAATTAGGATTATGATGATCGGACGTATTTACCATAAAGTTGCCATGAAATAGCAAAAATAGCTCATTATAGAGAGATTATTCTTAGCGCAATCACATTGCCAAGCAAAGTATTTCCGAGTTCAGTTTGCAACTTCGTAATAATTGTGAGAAAAGACATGACTTACCCCAGAATTCGAAACGAGCGCGAACGTATCTTGCCTGCAAAGTGATGACAAAAAGAAATATGGCCGCTATTGAAGACGTAATTTATTCGCGCCGATCTCGTTCAAAACGAGACGATATTTGCACACATGAAAATTTTGGCCGTATTAGAATAGCTTAAAAAGCAGGGTACCAGCAGACTGAATCGGGAGTGATTCGGTGGACTGCATGCAATAATGCTGGACGTACGAATTGACAGACGGAAAAAGAGAAAGTCGAGGTAGTCAAGGCTGAATTGGTGTCTGTTTTAAAACTGACCAGTGTAACGGCTGAGAAAGAAGTTCACGCAATCCATTTGCTTGAGGCGACCGAAGAAGAAGAAGAAGAAAATACAGCTGGACTGCCGGCGAGCACTGCACTTTTTGACCGCCCTCATCACCATTTTTCCCCTACAATAATAGTGGCGAATCACCGTCCATTTTCACTCCGATAATAATGATCTGTCTTCCTTTTTTTCCCTTTGGTATTGGTTTGATTATTTGCAAATCAATACAAGGAAGGTTTTCCGAACGAGTATAAGTTTCTTTCTAAATAAGATTTATTAGACTACTACTACTACTATATATATATATATATATATATATATATATATATATATATATATATATATATATATATATATATATATATATATATATATATATATATTTTTACAGATTATCATACAAAATATCATAACTGAATCAACTCAGCTGTCAGATCCTCATACGTCGAAACCGAGAATATATACACAGAGAAGTAGTTAGATAATCTCAAATCTGTCAAGATTAACAGATACAAAACGAAAAAATAAATGAAATACAATAAAACATTGGTTGTTGGATCTGATAAGGTGACATAATTCGCCCCATTTCCTCGAACAACAACAACGCAGTTCCCCTTAAACACAAATTGTTTCTTTCATTGCGACCTGAAGACGCCTAATTTGCATGCATAGACGAAACGTGCAAACAGACATGCATAGATAAGTGATTGTCATTTACAAAGAAAAGCCTTCGACAGGGGGTAATTTTGTTATTAAATATGACACATGCAAACAAGGAGGAGGCTTATACTTAACACCAGAAAGAGGCAGATGAAGTTTCTGAGACACATAAGGAGGAAGGAGGGCCTGGAGAATCTGATATTCACGGGTCGAATAGATAAGGGAAAACAACGCATGACATACCTGGCGGACTTAAGCAAGTGGATCTGGAGGGGGTAGCAAAGGGTAGAATGTTTTTGAGAGCTGCAAGGGATAGAGGGGGCTGTAGAGCTATGATCGCCTACGTCCTGAAAGGACATGGTACATAAAAAGAAAAGAAGATTTTATATATGTGTAAGCATTAATAGATTAATAGATAGGAGAATTTCTTTGGTAACAAAGGAAAGAGTACTGAGCTGTTACTTGACATCTGTTCTTCGTTACGGCAGCAAATGTTTGACGGTCTCCTCAAAGATGAAGAAGCGACCCGAGACAATGGAGGTATGGTTCTACAGAAGGATGCTAAGGATAGCATGGACCGGGCGTGTGAGCAACGATGAAATTTTGAAGAGGATGCAAACAAGGGTGAAGCTTGTACTTAATATCAGGAAGAGGCAGCTGAAATTTCTGAGAAAGGAGGGCCTGGAGAATCTGTTATTCACAGGTCAAATAGAGGGGAAGAGACACAAGGGCAAGCAACACATGACATACCTAGCGGGAAAGTGGATGACAGAACAGGGTTTGGGGTAAGTAGCAAAGGGACAGAACTTAATGAGAGCTATAATTGATAGGAGGAAGTGGAGAGCCATGATCGTCTACGTCCTGAAGGGACTATATTTAGTCGTCACCCCACGAGGGCGTCATGTGGCACAAGGCCTTTTTAACGTGGGCATTTCCGAGCCATTAGGGCAATAAATCGGAAAAAAATAGCCCATTTGAACACGTATAAACGGGTTCAGGGAATTTTTCACTCCCCGAAGGAGACTCCGCCCTTCGGCATAGCCTCCTTCGGGTTCCTCTCCGTCCGTAGACAGAGAGTTGAACCGAACCGTCGCTCAGAAAGTGAGCTGAAGGGACACGGCACATAAAAAGAAAGAAGGATAATGATCTGATTTTTGTAAAGGAGAAAAGAAATGGTTAATTGATGACAATAAAATAAGTTTTATTTGATGGCCTAAGGGTGATAGTCTCCGACTGATGCCAAATTGGTTAGTTTTTATCCCGGATTGAAGCAATCGCAAGTCTAGCCACATTGTATCACAACGAAATCGCCTGTCTGTGGATGACTATATAAGCCCCTTCTGGTAGGTAGAGCTCAAACCCTTGATCATGATTACTTGTGATTTTGTGCTAAAGAAGCTAAGGGTTCCTTCTAGCAATTTCATTCACTAGGGTTGGGTCAATCCGTGGTATCCGTGATCAATAACATCAGGAAATGACCATCTTAAAAAATTATCTGAACAAAGAAAAGGGACAAAAGGGAAGAAAAATACAGTTTCTCTACTGTAGTAACAGTAAAATAATATTATTGTCCTTTGGGTTCGAATAGGGCTTTGTTTAGAAATGCATCTGTAGATTCGGACGTGGCTCGACGGACTTGGTCTTGAGTCTAAGAGTGTGGAGCTGGTGGGACAGTAGAAGTTCAACAGTGAGTAGTAATTTTTTTACACCAGCCTTCTTCATAATTTGTATACGACGATAGCACGCCAATGTGATCGTTAACCAACACATACCTATCTCTCTTTTGTTGTGATCCTGCACCAGCGGAGCTTAGTTTTGACAGTGTCTTTATGCCGTTTCTTTGATCACCTTTGATATCTTCTGCTGCACAGCAGATGTCTGTACAGCATGCATGTGGGAATGAGATGTTCCTCCATGTTGATGACAAACTGCGCCTTAATTTGATGCTGATCGTCTCCGTACTGGCAGGCCTTTCAATGTTGATGATGTGACCTGCAACGTTTATTGATTGATTTGTTTGTTTAATGGTACGCCAACTCTTTATGGGTCAAATAATGCCGAAATTTAATTTTCTTGGGAATTTTGAAGCAATAAAAATATCTGTCTATATTTCTGAAATGATGTATTGTGTGCACTATTTACATTATTCGAACTATTGTCCTCATCTTTGTCGCCATATTTATTACAACGTTTCGGCCTTTCAGTGTCTGTCTATATTTCTGAGATGAGGCATTATGTGCACTATTTACATTATTCGGACTATTTTCCTCATCTTTGCCGTGTCCTTGACACAGTGGATAAAAATATTAGTTAGATCCAGTGACAGGACCCAAAGAGTGTGAATTCAATACCTTGTTAAGGCGATGGAGAACTTTTGAAAGGAATTATTAGGATAACTGATAACTGATAATCTAATAGACATGGAACGTATAAATATAGAACAGTCTACCCATGAGCGAAATAAAGGGGTTCAGTTCGACATTCCAACCACCTTTTTCTTTGGAGCGTACAACGGCCGAAACGTTGTAATAAATATGGCGACAAAGATGAGGACAATAGTCTGAATAATGTAAATAGTGTACAATAAAAATATATGTTTTTCTGCTTCCACAATTGAATATATGGTAGATGATACTCAGCTTTTTGTGAAATATACATGTTTGTATGGATGCAATTACTAGAGGCGGTGATATGTAGTTTTGTTGAAGTTATATTTTTGAATACATTTTGATTTATTTAAGAAAATGTAAGTTATTTGTTGTGGTACGATCCACCTAATTTACATAGTGGAGTACCGACCGATATAAATATGGGTTGGTACCGGAAGACGAAGAAGAAGGAAGAAGAGATCCAATCGAGAGACTCTGCCCGACTGCGATTAAGTCAACCCATTCTACAGGAACAGTCTTCCCAAGAATATACCAAAACTAATTGTAAATATTGTGTACCTTTTCCTTGTTTCAATACATTTTGTTTACGTACATTTTGTGTTGTATTATTATTATTCCATGCTTATCCAATCTTCAACATTATTATATGGCCTAATATCATGAAAGAGTTATTTCCTCTTGTTTTTTTGGCTGATTGATTTGGTTTAACGCCATATCAACCGCTGTGAGTTATTTAATGCCGCAATCTAAATCTTTTTATGTAATTTTATGCTTTCAACTACAAATATCTTCGACATGATTTTATACTTTCTGTGTAAATGTATGTTATTTAAATATATATTTTGTAAATGATAAAATGTGTTGTTTGTAATTTTATAATAAAAATATATTTTCATATTTATTAGTGTTACACCAATTGCCATTTTCCTATAAATTGGTGATTTTATTATAAAAATGAACTGTTGACTTTTGTTTAGGGTTTATGTTTGCCCATAGCTGGGACCCTAACAGGTTCTACCACCCAGGGTCAGTGTCATTTCTACTACCAATGTTATCTGGGAAGAAAAGCAATTAAGAGGTGTTCCTGTGCTTCTCAAAACCTTAAATATCCAGATCAGAGGCCTTGCTGCCAGATGTAGTTTATCGTCATACCCGGTTCGAACATCCGGATTCCAAGTACGGTGCAAAAATTAGACACACGTTTTCTATGAAAATTTTCAATTTTCTTCACGTGTCATCGCTACAAGGTCACCGTTTCGCAATCGTATAAGGATTATTATTATTATTATTATTTTCTTTGATTTCTGGCGTTTACACATTTCTTTCCGGGTCCCGCCCAGGAACCTAAGGTTAGAAATGGCAGCATGACACTTTCTACTGACAAAAAAAAAAAAAAAATAATTACATAGATAAAG